TATTTCTAATGCAATCATATGGCACACTGACTTCTGAGGGAATTTTAGATGGTACTCATCATCAGAAAGGTTGCCGACCCCTGATCTAGAAAACAGGCAAAACTTATGAGCACAACTGTAAATGTAACATAAAACTAAAGTTAACCAAATAGTATCACCGAATATTCTCCCACATACCTCCAGTATAGCAGAACTGTTGAAACTGACATCAAGTTGGTCATCTGTTACACTGTCTATCCATGGGTCTGGAGGGGGAAGGATGGATGGGTCGAAGCCCACATCCTCATAGTCATCAGAGGCACAGGCATGGTAGTGGTTCCCTGAGCCCTGGATGCTGACGGTGGAAGTGTTGGCATCGCGGGAATATTGCCGAGGGATGGCACGAGATGACAGTATTTCCATGTCAGTGTCCGGGGAGTTCATAGGTGTGTCTAGTAGGTCTGGCATGTCCAGATCTGCCTGGAGGGAATAACGAGTACAGAAATCAGTGGATTTGTGAGCAGTGCAGGTCTGTTACACCTGTTTGCATTTGTTGCTAAATGATGTTCACCCTCATTTAGAGATGAAGTGAAGGGGCCATAAAAAAAAATCAACTGATAGTTCAAACCTGACTTCCTCAGAAACAGATGATGTTTTTTAGTGTAATATGTTTAATGAGTATAACAGAGTGGGGCCAAATTTGGTTGTTTTTATTTGTTTTTTGGCTTTTTTTACTTTACTTTTGAGGAAATATTCAAATAAAAAGACGATTTATACTCGATTAAAACTGCAACCAAATACATTTTAAACCCACTGCAATCTCAAGCCAAAATTGATCTTTTTAAAGCTCAACATTTGTTCTTAAGTAGCTTTGAGCATCAGTAATCAATGTAGCATCATGTGCTGTGTCATAGTTTCAATACCAAAACTGCACCAACCGAATGTCTGTCATGTCAACTAACAGAAAAAAGCACCGGTTCCCTCAATAATTAATTATTTTATGACATTTCATCTTAAAAAAAAACCAAAACTGCATTTTGGATAAACTTTTAAAGAACGATATCACCATGTGAGTTCGTGCCTATATTCTTGTTTTAGATTTTGTTGCCAGGCTCATCTTCAAGCTGTGATTGATTGATTGTTTGAAGGTTGAGCGCCTTCAAAAATTGCACAAATACAAGAAAGCAGTCCTACATATGTGTTTATTATATGCACTGAAGGAAATGTACTGGTCAAAAATTACTCCGAAATTCCTCACAGTGTTTCTGGAGGGCAAGGTGACGCCATCCTGCAAGTATCCAGAAAGTAAAAAACGAAAGAAAGGGTTTTGTTTGGGTAAAAGACTGTTATCCTTTGAATAATAGTAGATATAAAAAGGCTCTCAGAGTGGGTAATCCAGCACAAAAAATGTAGCATTCATAAAGCTCCATAATTGGCTGCAAGTGAATACTATGCGAATTAAACTGTAAATATATATATTTTCTGATTATAACAGAAATAGTGACAAACAAAAGACATATGTGCCTTTTTTAAATGTAAATATCTCATAAGCTAAGAGGCATCATTGATCTCAAGCAAACTGCCAACTCTTGGCCCATGTTCTGGTTCAGTATAGTATTTCTCATGGTTTTATGATGTTTTGTTAAAATGTAGCCAGTGCATTTCTTTTACCTTGCAGCTCTGGTGCAGGTTTTTCTTTTCTCAAAGCGACCAGTGTGTCTCGAGGAAGCTGCAAGCATTATTTTGTACGGGTGCAGTCGGTACCAAAACTTACCTGCACAGCTGCTGTCACACTATTGGAGCGCTGGAACCGACGATACCTGAGCATCAGAGGGGGAAAAAGAATAAATACTAGAATAAAATTTCTGCCCTCTGCTTTCAGAGAACATATGTCTTCACATACACATCTTTAAAATGTTGTAAGTTTACATTTGCACTAGTCTATTCTTTTTCCATCTAACAGTTGCTACTTTTTCGTTTGGAGATTTGAGGTTCCCTGTGACTCTAGATGTCAGTTGTGAGAAGAGGTGTAAAATGAACGCTACCAGATGTTATAAAAGATTTTCTAAATGCATTAGTGCCGGCTGAGCTTAACTGTTCAGTGCTCCAATAAAAGAAATAAAAAAAAGTTGCAAGTAGCGCAAAATAAGGATGAAGTAGCTGCTTGTAAATTACCGTAATTGTCGGGCTATAAGCCGCTACTTTTTGCACAAGCTTTGAACCCTGC